GAACTTTTTTTGGGAGAATTAGAGAAAAAAAAAGGATTTAAACATTTGAAATTAATTAGCAACAATTAAACCACATTCTAAGCAAATACAGTCAGAAAACCTGAGAAAGCACATTCATACGGAACACCAAGAACATTTCCATCAAATTTACAATTTTTCCTGAAAGCAAACGACTGAAAAGAAGCACTTTCAAAGTGATTGAACCCATTCTTACCTCATAACCATTTAGGTTTATGACTAAATCAAGGAGAATTGGATGTTTTGTGTCACTCGGGCTTAAATTCTCTAATTAACTGTTTCAGTGTTTGAAATCAAAAAGGCAGGAATTAAAGGATTGTTAAAGAGAATAAATTAATGTTTGGTTGGAGATAAGGTGACTTTTTCTGTGTTTTCCTGTTTTAAATGAGATCCAGCTTCTGCAGTGTGAACATTCAGCACCGATGCAGGAGGTAGAACGTTCTGGATGCCATGAAGCAGAAGGCTTCAGGCTGATGGATGGAGGTGCAGCATATCCAACATTTGTGCAGCAGCTCACCTGTTGTTTCTGTCTTCTCTCAGATTTACAGTCTAAGAAGATTTAGAGTAACAGAAATTTATAGCAGCCAATTTCCATTTCTGTCACATAAAGGAGAATTACTGGAAGTCTTCAAACATGCTTAAAAACAGTAAAAAGGAAAGTTAAAATAATGCAACTCTGCTCAGAAACGGTTTTATTAGGTTAGCACATAACTGTTAGCTAATGTTAAAATATAATTTTAATTTTAATTAAACAGCTGGGTTAGTAAACAGACGGAGAAAAGACAGAAATGGCAGCTAGCTAACTGCCTGTAATTAGCAACAGCTAACAATCATTAGCAATTTTCTAGGGTCGTCAAAAATGATCAATATTTTACTGAACATAGATGTGGTTTTAATGGAGCAATTCTGCATTAAAAACGATTCTTAAAGGTTTAAAAAATAATTATAATTTATGGAAAAAAGATTTTAGAAATTACAGGCAAACAGAATATTAGCCTTACACCAGCTAACCATAGCTATTAGATATGTAGACGCCTCATTGGACGCTGTCAGCAGTGAGGCCGATGGGCCTAGAGGGCGGCCATCTTGGATCAGACCACAGGTCAGACAGCTGCTGTCAGAATGAACAGGAGGCGCCTTAGATCTCATTTTAATCACATGAAAGACGAGTCGGAGAAAATATTACAATAATCTCTGACATGTCACAACCACTAAAAAGACCGAAACAAATTTTAAAAGTACCTTTCAGTTAAATTACACAGATTTATTCAGATAAAAATCTATTTAACCTGAACTCCAACTGGATGAGATACATGCAGAGTTATATATTTTGCAATTAAATATTAATCTGATAAACACCAAATATATATTCATATTATTATTCAGTATTACGTTTTATATCAATATATTATAAGATTACCTTTTACAAATATTATGTATGTATATTATTAATTTTCAGTATTTTTAAGGATTGCACTTTGATGATGAATATTATGATCTATAGAGGATAATTTGTTGTAATGTGATTTAAAAAAAGAGTAATTTTATGTTAATTTTTATGTATTTTTTGTCATTGTCAAAGTTTTTTGTCAAATCGTAGTCAATGGTAAAGTAATTTTGTGTCTAACTAAAGGCTTTTTGTTCCTATAAGTTTGTCTAAACTTCTTTCAAAACAGTTTTTCAACTTTTTTTAATCAATATTTATGCATCTGTGAACATTTGCTCTTTAATCGGCTAATGTTT